GAGCCTTCTTTTGAGAACCAATATGTCAGGCTGGTGCCAAAAAGGTCATCGCTCTGGAAGTGCGCGGCTCAGCATATGGGTATGGGTCAAAATTAAACCACCAAGAATTGGACCAGGTTTTGGTTCATATTTTCCACTTACCAGGGTTCCCATTTGGGGGTACATATTTTTTACCCACATCCAGATTGCAAAAGAGCGTCGCCAGCAGGGCGCTCTGAATTGCAGCATGTGCTGGGCTCTCTACCATGCGCACAGCAGCTTTCGCCATGCGCAAGATGCAGCGTTCCCGAGAACCCAGCTTTGTATGAGTTGGACTGAAAATAGCAAAAACAATACGAGAACACGGCGAGGGGGCGGGGGGGCTGCGAGACCAAACGGAACCCCTTCAGTTTTAGAGTTCAGCCTGGGAGAAACACAGAAAAATGATTTGGGCCCTCTGGTGAAATATGCGACCGCTTCGGGTTGGTTTGATTTTGACCAGGCGCATCCAGAGCTTGCGGAACTGGGTGCCGCCATAGCGCGGCAGAACGGATATGGGGAGGCCAGGCGTGCTAAGGGGTCCCCCGTCTTGGGGAATCATCAGTGGTTTATGCCCGGCTTCGGGCATTTCCTTTTCAACAGGGCGAGCCCTGCTTGTTTGACCACCGGCACCTGACCAGAACAACGTTTAACAAGGTGTTCGGAGATAGCAGCTGACTGCCCTCATGGCTCACAGAAAGCTGCACAGTCCGGATCCCTTATTCAACAGGTGATTGCTTGGCAACCCCGCTCCCTACCGCAAGCCATGCAGGTGATCGAGTTCGTGTGTGGCAAGCCCAGGCAAGGCGTGTCAAGGGTTGACACAATTTGTTCAAAGAAGGCCCCAGTCCCAAGCTATCCCTCCGAACTACGCAGACAATGGTTACCACGTTTTCTTTTGGCGTTGGTGCCAACCTGGGCCGTTGGATAGTGCCAAGATGTTGGCGCCTTGTTGCAGACGCCATAAAGCAATACAATGCGTGATTGCATTACTCGGTTTGCGTGCCAATCTAGGCTAGAGAATAGCTCCCAGGCCATTCCACAATTTCCATGCCTTGGAAGTTGCACCATCTTTCTACCCACCCCATTCAAACTCCGAGGCGTTTGTCGTGCCAGATGCAAGACATCGGAGGATTCACCCGCCAGGTTTCCTTTTTTTTCAGGCTTTCCTTGTTTCCATGCACCTCATTTTGGGGTTACCCTCCCTCCAACAATCATGGAAGCTGTCAGGAGGGGGTTAAGTTGAAAGGCTACTTTCAATTTCAGGAAGCCCCTTGTCCAACTCCATGATGGCTACCCATGTTTTGACCCATTCCCATTTAAGAAAAGCGCCGCTTGTATGCGAATTTGGATGCCGCCAGCCTGGTGCAACTTCCCGGGGGAGAGAAGGCGGACATCATCGCCGCGCGGCCCAAGAGCCGTTTTTGGCCCCGCGGGAGCGGAGTCGGAGGAGGGCGGCCTGTGGGCGCAGAGTGTGTCTGAGAATGCCCTCACTTTTACAAACATGGCACCTGACAGAGGGTCCATTGAAGAGGAAAATGATCTTCCAGGTACCCTTTTTTCAGGTTCTATGTTAGGGGAAGGGAGGGTAAGACGCTAAAAATGATGGGTGTCCTTTGAACCAAGATGAAAAGGGCTATCTCCAAAAAGACGCACCCAGATTCAAATTGGAGTAGTGGAGTCCGTGGCTTGAGTTTTGGAGTTTGTCTTCCCACGTTTTTTTTTGGGGGGGGAGGTGCAGATGCCGGCGGCTTTCTTGTTTAAGGCCGGGAACACTTCAGGTAGTCGGTTCAGGACTCAACCACAACATGCGTCTCCTTTTGATTGAGGGCTGAACTCTTAATCTGATTCTTTTTTGGACTTGGGCAAAAGGGCAGTAATCCATGGCCAGTTTAGGGGGGGGGGAGTGCAGGGACTCATCAACTTAGTAACTTTGCAACAACGCCAGTGGGACTCCACAATGTTTCACAAGTCCTTTCGGGTAGCCGCACAAGTTTAATTCATGTGGGTGTCCTTAAGGTGTCCCTCTTCATGGGCTACTTCCTCATGCCAGCGCCTCAGGAATGTTTCCCTAGCTGCACACACGTGTTTTGCGCACCACGTTTGTTTTGTGTTTGTAGAGCGCGTGCAAAACACACGCGCAGAAGGTTTTTGCCGTTGTCTGCTGGACGACATGTATGCGTGAATTTCTTTGCGCGCCTGTTTGTTTCGCGATGTGTGCGTGTAAACTTCAGGTTCGCACGCGCCGGTTTCTTGGCTTCCGGCGTTACTCCGCTTGTTCACCTTTGGTGAAAGAGAATTGTGCGTTGTTACCGCGCAACACACGTGTGTTCCTGTAGTACAGAGGCGTGGGTTTTCCGAACATTGCGCACTTGCAACGCGCGCTAATGGCACAAACCGGTGCGTGAGAGCAAGGGTTCGGGAACGGATCGGAGGCAACATGTGTGTGTGTGTGTGTGCGGTTTTTCCGCGTGCGCGCTCACGGTATTTCCTTGCTATGGAGATGTGGGCTTTCCGAGCCTGCGTGTGTGTTTTGCAGAAAAAGGTTGAAACACACGCAGGTTGCTGAATACACAAACGTGTGAGGGAGATGTGTTTCGTGACGCACATTCGCTTGTGCTTCTGCCGCGCGCACGAGCGCTTCCCTGCCTGGAAACATAAATGTATGCGTAAAGCATAAAGCGCGCAGGAACATTCGCATGTGCATGAGCGTGCGGTGCGGATATTGTTTTCGAGCGCGCGCGTGCACAAGATTCCTGACGCGCGCTTGCAAGTCTTGTGCTTTGCGTGCCGTGTGCTCCTCTGCTTTTCACACACACGCGTGTTTTTGCGAGCAGGCGTGTGTCTGTTTCGGGGAGACAGATGTGCGCAGCGCGTGCGCAAAGCAAACGTGCGAGTTCTGCCGGACGACACGTGTGTGAGCCTCTCCGCGCATCTTTGTGTTTCGCAACGCGCACGTGTCTACGTCAGGCTCGCAGGGAAAAGTGAAAGTGTTTTGGGCTGCAGGTGGCTGCGGGTGCCTGCTGGTTGGCCTGTTGCGAAGGACCTTTGCAAAACCACGACGTATTGTTTTACGATCACGTGCGCGGGTGTTCGTGTTGTTTGTGGTGCACTTGCCCGCCTTTCGCAAAGACAGTTATATGTTGTTTTGCTCCGCAAACGAGTGGTTCCTTGTTACACGGACGTGGCTTGTCTGAACATGCGTGTGTCATGGGGAAAACGCAGTTGCGACGTGGGCAGCTCGCTAGGAACACAAACTGCGCGAGAACTCGGTGTTGTTATGCCACCTTCGTGCGCTTCTGCTGCGCGCGCGCAAGTTTCCCAGCCTGACGCGTGTGTGTGAGCGCGTGTTGTGCGGGAACATGTGTAAAGCTCCTTGCGCGACGTGGTCTTGACAGTTTTGCCAAGAGCCCGCGCATGTGCAAGAAAACTCTCATGTTGAGCTGTGCTCGCAAGTCGCTACTGGGACAAGCATGTGCGCGAGGGCGTTGTTTTTGAGGAGCGCCGGCGTGTTGGCGCGCGTTTGCAAGTGCTTGTGCTGCGCAAGCGGTGTGCTTCCTGCGCAACAGGTGTGTTTTGCCAACGCGCGTGTGCCTGTTATGTGGAGACACATGAGCGCAGCGCGTGCGCAAACAAACGCACACACACACACACACACACGAGAACACGGTTGTGACATGCTCTGCTGGACGACGCGTGTGTGCGAGCCGGTTCCCGCATCTATGTGCTTCGCAACGCGTGCACGTTTACTTCAGGTTCACGCGCGCAGGTGGAAGAATTTTGGGCTGCGAGCCTGAAAGCAAACAGACTGAGCGAGAACACTGTGTTGTTATGGTTCGTTGTGGACACACATGTGTGCGAGCTTCGTGGCTTGCGTTTCCTTGTGCTTCTGTTCCGCGTGCGCAAATGTTTCCCTGCTTCACGCCTGTGTGTGTGCGAGTGTGCGTGTGTGTGCACAAAGCTTGCGAGACACGGTGTTGAGTTTCAATATCTTGCGTATGTGCATCAAAACCCTTATGTTTTGCCACGCGTGCAGGTCGCTTGAGACAAACATGTGAGCGCGTGCGTGTGCGAGTTGCGTGATGCGCGTTTGCAAGAGCTTGTGCTGCGCACGCTGTGCGCTTTTTACGGAGGAATATGTGTGCAGCACGTACGCAAAACCTCGCGAGGACAAGGTTTTGACATGTTCTGCTGGGCGACACAGTTTCTTCGCAAAGTGCGCATGTCTACAGCAGGTTCAAGCCCACAGGTGCAAGGCTTCTTGGCTTCGGGCTCTGACTCGTTGGCCTGTTACAACGGACATGTGCGCATCTACGCATGTGTGAGTTTTGTTTTTGCGCGCCCTTATGTTTGCTACAGGCACGCGCTTCTTTGACAATCACGAGCGCGAGTTGTTGTGTATTCTTGTGTTTTGAGCTCACCCACTTGTTTGCCTTTTGCGGCAAAAAGTTTGTGCGTCGTCTTGCCGCGCGCACACACGTGTGTGCCCTTGTCGCGGGGATGGGGGTTTGCTGAACATGCGCGTGTTGTGCGAAAACATGCATTTGAATTTGCCACGCGCGCAGGTCGCTAATCGCACAAACTCTGTTGACAATCGGGCGCGAGTGTCGCGACGCGCATTTAGTTATTATTTTGGCTTGAGGCGCCCTGTGGTTGGCCTTTGGCGAAGGATGTGTGTAACACCGCGCGCGTGTGAGTTTCGTTCTTGTTTTGCGATGTGGCGCTGCGGTGTTATTCTTGTGTCTTGTAGTGTGCGGGCTGCGCGTGTTGCAAATGCATTGTTTCGCAAACACACACGTGTTCAGAACATCCACATGGCGCGCGCGTCACAGGACGTGTGTGGCGGCTAGAGTGTTTCACGGCTTGACACATGACATGTGTCCGCTACGCAGAGCGTAAAGCGCGCGAGAATACGGTGGTGTATTTCTTCCGCACACTTCTTTCCGCCAGAGACTCGCGCGCGCAACCCCTTAAGTTTTGCCATGTGCAGGTCGGCACTGAGACAATCATGTGCGCGAGAGACAGAAAGAGCGCGGGGTTGATCTGGCGAATTGAATTGCCCGGGCTACGTCACGTGCTTTCCTGTTACACACGCACACACACACACACACGTGTTTTTTGACGAATGTTTGTTTTGCGGAGATACGCGTGTGCAGCACGGACATGAAACAAACATGCGAGAACAAGGTCTTGCGATGCCACGTTTTGCAATACGCACACGCGTTTTTTTGCGAAGGTGCACACACACAAGCATTTACTGACCGCTTGCCGCACCCGGGTGTTTTCGCAACACATACGCGTGTTAGCTTGCTTAGACACACAACGACCTGCGCTCTCATGCACACTTTTGTGTCAATAGCGACCTGTGCGCGTTGCACACGCACGGTTCCTCGTAATGAACGCATGTACGCTCAGAAAGCACACACGTGTGCAGCAAACGTGCACGAATGAAAAAAGGCCGCGTGACAAAACTCACACATGTGCTTGTTCCTGATAATGAAACATATCAACGCCGTGCTACTGCGAGCTTTGCACGTACATGCTTTTCCGGAAAACACGCACACGCCCGTGTTTTGCAGGGAAACACATGTGCATGAGTGTGTGCAGAACTCGCACACGCGTATCCTTGCGAGAACTGGCAAGAAAACACACGTGTGCAATGCACATATGTCGTCTTTCGCAAAAATGAAAAAGAAAAAGCGGGAGCGCTCAAAACACAAGAGCAACAAACACCTGCGTGCGATCCTAAGACAAGCGCGTGCCCGTAGAAAACGTAAGGGGTGCACAACGAAACTCACACATGTCGTACGCAGCGCGCGCGCTCGCTGCACCACTAGGAGAACACAAAGGCGTGTATAGCAATGAAACACACGCGTGCGCCGCATGTGTGTACCAAAAACACAAGTCAAACATTCTTGGCAAATGGCCAACCAGTGGGCGCCCGGAAGCCGAAAATAATTGCACCTGAGTGCATTAAACTGAAGCAGACACGCGAACATTGCGAAACGCAAAGGTGCCAAAAAGACTCACGGTAGAACTTCGATCTATGTGGCTATGCAACACATGCGTAACTGTGCGGCGCAATCAGACGCGAACATAAATGCGCGAGAAAATGCACGTGTGTATCTGCGTTCGCCAAACACATTTCTACGTAGCAAGCATGCGCGGGCTGTTGCAACGCGTGCCTGTGTGTGTGTTTGTGTGTGTTTGTGTGTGTGTGTGTGTGTGTTCGTGTCTGTGCGCGTGTCTGTGTGTGTGTGGGTGTGTGTGTGTGTGTGCTCGCCAGACGCACACGTCCTGTGCGCGTGCGTGTGTGTGTGTGTGTCTTTGTTATGCACGCACTCTAGCAAAGTGCTTGTGTTCACACTCACTCAGCCCCAAACCAACCGTATACTCAGCATGACACCACCGCCTTAAACTGACCTTAGATCCAGCCCAGAGGCCCGCCGCAAAACCCGCCCTGAATCCGCTCCATGTGCAAGTCACCCCGAGCAAGCATATTTGTTTAACACATGCATTTTTGACAGCCAGAAAAAGAGGGAACACCCGTTTTCAACTTTGCGCCGGGTGTGGGCCACACCTTCAGTCTTTGCCGAACGCAGGAAGGTTTGCTCCAAACGTGGAAAGCTCCAAAGTGAACGTTTTCCGTTCGGATTCCCAACATTTCCGCCGCCCCCTCCCCAAAACAAAAAAACCAAACAAAACAAATGTTCAACAAACATTGGTACCTCCCCCCCAAAAAACCAAAGAAATCAGTTCAGCAACAAGGTAGGCCGAGATTCGAAGACCAAAAGTCGGAACGCCATGTGTGTGTGTGTGTGTGTGTGTGTGTGTGTGTGTGTTTGTGTTTGTGTTTGTGTTTGTGTGTCTGTGTGTGTGTTTGCGAAACGAGTGCATGAGGGCATTCGTTCCACGTACATGTGTGTGAAGCAAGCACACATGTGTGTCCTCCTGCTTTCGGTCGGCAAGCCGCGTGCATGTGTGCCGGAAAACGCCAACATGGTGTGTTCGCAGAGCCCGCCGACTCACAGGTCTGTGATGTGGTGTGTGTGAGTGTGTGTGCATCCCGAGGTACGAGGCCCGGCTCGAGGAGTTGCTCCAGGCAAGGGATCGCTTTCTCAAGGCCGGGCTTTCGAAGCTTCGTGGGCCTCGGTTCTTGACATGTTGGGTGGCCGGTCTTTAGGTTGGCACCCACGGCTTTACTGTTGGTTTCCCTTTAGCGCCACCAACAAAAACTAAGTCCTTACCCCGTGGGACATGGTACCCGATGAGAACGGTGCATACTTCTCGAAAAAGTCAAAAAGTCAAAAGGTGTTTCCGACTTTTCCGACTTTTCGCGACTTTTAGCGACTTCGCGACTTTTCGTGACTTTTAAACGTTTTGCGGCTTTTCGACTTTGCGTAACCGTTCGACTTTTCATATGTTCTTTTGACTTGTCGCGACTTTTCGGCTTTTCGACCATTCGGGATTTTTTGTTTGTTTGTGATTTTTCGGCCTTTCGACTTTCCCCGACTTTTAGCAAAACCGAAACTTTTCGGCTTTGCGACTTTCAACTTTACGACTGCTCTTGCTTTTTCTCATTTTGTTGTTTCTATTTGTTTGGCATTGCAATTTTTCGGCTTGTCTGGCGGTTTGCGCAACTTTTATATGCGTGTTTGTGAGTTCCTTTTTTCCCGGTTTTTTCTCTGTGTTGGCTGTCGTCGTTCTAATTACTAATTCAGCTTTCTGACTTCACAACTATGCGAGTCGCCTTCAACTATGCGATTCGCCTTCACAACATAGCATAACATGACATAACCTAACATAACACACAGACGGACAGACAGACAGACAGAAAGAGATACACACGTGCATGCATGCATGCATGCATGCATGCATGCATGCGTGCGCAGCATACATATTTCACAACACATTGCATTGCATTACCTTACCTTACCTTACCTTACGTCACATGACACTGCATTACATTCCGTTGCATCACATGACGTTACATTGCATTGCATTACAGTACATTACATTACATTACATTGCAAGCATGCATACACTACATACATGCATGCATGCATGCATGCATGCATGCATGCATGCATGCATGCATGCATGCATGCGCACATACATACGCTATTTCCTACATACATCGCATGTCATTATTTTACATTATAGTACATTACATTTCATTCATATACATATGCACATACATATATACATGTACATATACATACGCATGTACATACACTTATTCATGTACATATACATATGCTTTTACATACCATACCATGCCATGCCATGCCATGCCATGCCATGCCCTGCCCTGCCCTGCCCTGCCCTGCCCTGCCCTGCCCTGCCGTGCCGTGCCGTGCCGTGCCATGCCATGCCATGCCATACCATACACATACATACATACATGTATACATACATACATACACACACACACATATATATATATATACACATGATATGCATCTTTGTGAAAGTCACACTTATTCACGCTACATCTCATGAATTAACTTCCCATCTTGTGTTGATTTCCTCTGGCATTTGGCCTGCAAAGTTCAAAGTTCCAACATCTACGGAAGACTCCTGAAGATAGCTTTCTGCAGATTGACCCAGTGAGTTTTATAGTTTTGGCCAGAGCTAGCGCTGTCCAAGATTCAGGATTGGAGATTGATAGAGTAAATTTTTACATGTTGGCCAGAGCTAGAGTTGTGCAAGATCCCAGACTCTAGATTCTAGATCGAGTAGAGCATCGGCCCGAACTTTTTTCCAGGCTAAAGCCCAAATCTTTTCAACTGATATTCCCTCAGTTGTGTAGGAATTATCTCAAAGGAATCTTGCATTTTGATCCGGAATCCCCAGCAAGCAAATTCAACTCGTTTCAAGACCCCTAAATTTGCACAAAATGCCGCCATTGATTCTGTGAATCCAATGTTTGGCTTCCATTGGGATCCCCCAGCAAATGTGCAGGAACATTGACCAAATCCATGTTCTTTCTTTGCAGGGCATTTTCCAACATCATTCCAGTGTCCAGGGCTGTTCCAGGGCTATCCCCTCAGTTGCGTAATTCTGACGCAAGTTTGCCCTAGGGACAATCTCTAACAACTGTTATCCAAGAGTCGTCTTTTCGTTGCAGTCATTCTCAAGAAGCACTCATTTGAATCTAGATCCTGGCGATCTTCAAAAGCCTAGGCATCCAGGGCATTTGCTGTAGGTTTGGCTGCTTTCCAACTCTTATCCAAGGGTAGAAGTTCCATCAACCAACATAAACAAATTGGGAGCCGCTGGCAAGTCTAGAAGAGTTCGATCGAAGTTCCGCAACTGTTCAAACTAGTGGTTCCTCCGGAACATCGCGGCAAGTTGCGGCATTCCCTCCAAACAAAACACTTTCCATGACCCGACTACAAGGGGAACCAAGCTGGTTCCTTATATGCAGGTCACCGGACACCCTGGGAAATGACTCCAACAATACTGTTCGATACAGATCACCGGTGTCCTTCTCAAGCTCTTCCAATGTATTTTGTCGTTTGTTTTTCGGATCTTCGCAACCTTCCACGCGACTGTTCGAGGTGTCGCGACGTTTCGAGACTTTTCTGGGCGACTTTTTGGGCGACGTTCCGCGGTCAAGACGCTGATTTCTCACCCTGTGCTCCGCAGCCCGCGGGGTAGCTGCACAGCCCAACAACAAATTATGAGATGAGCCACAATCAAAACCCGGGTAAGTGAAGGTTAGTAAGGGACGATCCCAACCACAAATAGCTGCGGATATCCGGCTTCTCAACTCTTGAAGCATGGTTCAAAGTCGAAGATTTTAATACCGGGTTTTGATTATGACTCAGATGAAGCTTAGGAGGAGCCAGCGGCCAGTCCCAACGGCTCTGTTTGAGTGGGCTACATGGTCCGGGGGAAGTATGGTTAGACTCCTGTCACGCGATAGATTTCCACTCAATTGGGTAGGTGCTGTTGTAGGAAACCACCCCTGTAGGATATTGAAAGAATGCGAAAAAATGCTAGAAAAGGACCAACAAGGAGAAGAACAGGGGGAATCCACACAAAAAGCGCCGCTCCAAACCGCGGATCCTAGAGCTGTGGAACGGATCCCTCTGCAGATGCGGTTTCGACGTCGCACGCGGTTCGACCCGCCAGCCCGATGGCCTCATGTTCCCGGACCGCGCGAAGCTGTTCGTGTCGCTGATGGAGGCTGGGTTAGACACGGAGAGTTTGGCTCCAAATGTGGTCGCGTGCTTTTGTTGTTGTTTCTCGAGGGAAGCCACATCGAAATCGCTCATTTTGGTCCACCTATTTTGACACACAAATGCCCGAGTGGGGGGAATTCACAAGGAGATGGGTCCCATTTTGTGGAGGCTCCAAATTTGTTCAGACAACCCCAGGACCCTGACTACAAGAGGAGCCACTACGAGTACTTCGGAGACGTGCCCGCCCGAGCTGGGAATCCGTTTCCCTTCAACACGATCCTTGTGTCCCTGTTTTCGACAACTCCGGCCTGGCCTTTGGCGGAGCATGGGGCGGCCTATGAGGTCAAATTTTGCAGTTGCTGGTTTTGAGGGGCGCTGGCGTGTTTTTCAACCTCCATGGTTTCCCCACAGACGTTTTTGCTGGTTCTGCCCGCAAGTGCGCTTCAATTCGACTCGAACTTCAAGCCGACGCCTGCTTTGCGCGTTTTACATGAGACACACACAAATATCTATATATATAAATATAAATATATACAAATATATATAATATAAATATATATACACACACACGCATATTTGTAACCCACGGTGTATTTAGTATGATTTTGTTACAACTGGCATTTATGATTTGGTTACGCCGGTTTTACGATTTGTTCATGTTAAACAATGGACATCGTTTTAAAGTCGTAGAACAATGAAGACCGAAACAACATCGTAGCAACAGCGTATTCAATCGTATTAAATTCGTATGTTTGCGTTTCCTTGGATCTTAATACGGATGTCAATGTTTTGTGCAAGTGCAATACAAGTTCAATACGATGTTCTGCACCCCCTGCTTTCACGTTTAAAAACAAAGAGCAACATTGTACATGTTTCAGGAGTCGTACTGAAATCGCAAATGCAAATCGAAAAAAGAGAGGCCTAAAATACATTAAAGTTAGGCTGACAGTGTAGGTCGCGCGCACATATATATGTAGATATACACATACAAGTTATCGTTATAATTCGTATATTCGTTTCTATGACTATTGATATCAGTATTGTTATTGCATTTCTATCATTATGACTTCTATTAATAGGCTCATGCCGTTACTTATTCATTTATGCATTTGCAATATTTGCTTACGGTTTTACTACTTTTGTTAGTTTTTACAGTATTCATTTGTGTATTCAAATCCTTGTTTATTCATTCATTCACTCATTCACTCAGTCACTCATTTATTCATTCATTCATTCATTCATTCATTCATTCATTCATTCATTCATTCATTCATTCATTCATTCATTCATTGATTCATTGATTCATTGATTCATTGATTCATTGATTCATTGATTCATTGATTCATTGATTCATTGATTCATTGATTCATTGATTCATTGATTCATTGGATTCATTGATTCATTGATTCATTGATTCATTGATTCATTGATTCATTGATTCATTCATTGATTCATTGATTCATTGATTCATTGATTCATTGATTCATTGATTCATTGATTCATTGATTCATTGATTCATTGATTCATTGATTCATTGATTCATTGATTCATTGATTCATTGATTCATTGATTCATTGATTCATTGATTCATTGATTCATTGATTCATTGATTCATTGATTCATTGATTCATTGATTCATTGATTCATTGATTCATTGATTCATTCATTCATTCATTCATTCATTCATTCATTCATTCATTCATTCATTCATTCATTCATTCGATTCGATTCGATTCGACTCGACTCGACTCGACTCGACTCGATTCCGATTCGATTCGATTCGATTCGGTTCGGTTCGGTTCGGTTCGGTTCGGTTCGGTTCGGTTCGGTTCGGTTCGGTTCGGTTCGGTGCGATGCGATGCGATGCGATGCCATCCGATCCGATCCCATCCCATCCCATCCCATCCCATCCCATCCCATCCCATCCATCCATTTGTTCTTTCGTCCATCTATTCATCCATCCATTCATCCATCCAATCCTTCATTCATTCAATCTTCCATCCATTCCAAATCGCTTCCCTTCCTGTGCATTCCATTCCATTCCATGCCATGCCATTCCATTCCACGCCATTCCATTCCATTCCATTCCATTCCATTCCATTGTATTCCATTCCACCTCATTCCATTCCATTCCATTCCCATTCCATTCCATTCGATTCCATTCCATTGCATTCGATTCCATTCCATTCCATTCCAATCCATTCGATTCATTCATTCGTTTGTTCGCCGCTCGTTCATTCATTCATTCATTCATTCATTCATTCATTCCTTCCTTCCTTCATTCATTCATTCATTCCATTTCATTCATTCATTCATTCATTCATTCATTCATTCATTCACTCACTCACTCACTCACTCACTCACTCACTCACTCACTCACTCACTCACTCACTCACTCACTCACTCACTCACTCACTCACTCACTCACTCACTCACTCACTCACTCACTCACTCACTCACTCACTCACTCACTCACTCACTCACTCACTCACTCACTCACTCACTCACTCACTCACTCACTCACTCACTCACTCACTCACTCACTCACTCACTCACTCACTCACTCACTCACTCACTCACTCATGAGTCATTCATTTCTTCATTTATTCATTTATTCATCCATTCATCCTTTCATCCATTCATCCATTCATCCAATTCGTCCAATTCATCCAATTCATTCAATTCATTTCAGTTCATTTCAACTCATTTTAATCCATTTGAATTTAGTTTAATTCGTTTCGATTCAATTCACTTCGATTCACTTCATTCAGTCAATTCATTCAGTTGATTCAGTGCATTCAATTCATCAATCCAATTTATCCAATTCATTCACTTCATCCAATTCATTCTGTTCATTCAATTTATTCAATTCATTCAGTTCATTCAACGCATTCAGTTCATTGAATTCATTTAATGCATTCCATTCATTCAATGGATTCAATGGATTCAATTCATTCAATGGATTCAATTCATTCACTTCATCCAATTCATCCAATTCATTCAATGTATTCAGTTCATTCAATTCTTTCCACTCATTTAACTCATTCAATTCATTCAATTCATACAATTTATTCCATTCATTTCATTCATGTTATTCAATTATTTCAATTCAATCTGTTCATTCATTTGCTCGATTGCTCGATTGCTCGTTTGCTCGTTTGCTCGTTTGTTCATTCATTCATTCATTCATTCATTCATTCATTCATTCATTCATTCATTCATTCATTCATTCATTCATTCATTCATTCATTCATTCATTCATTCATTCATTCATTCATTCATTGATTCATTGATTCATTGATTCATTGATTCATTGATTCATTCATTGATTCATTCATTCATTCATTCATTCATTCATTCATTCATTCATTGATTCATTCATTCATTCATTCATTCATTCATTCATTCATTCATTCATTCATTCATTCATTCATTCATTCATTCATTCATTGATTCATTGATCATTCATTCATTCATTCATTCATTGATTCATTGATTCATTTCATTGATTCATTATTCATTCATTCATTCATTCATTCATTCATTCATTCATTCATTCATTGATTCATTGATTCATTGATTCATTGATTCATTGATTCATTGATTTGATTCATTGATTCATTGATTCATTGATTCATTGATTCATTGATTCATTGATTCATTGATTCATTGATTCATTGATTCATTGATTCATTGATTCATTGATTCATTGATTCATTGATTCATTGATTCATTCATTCGCTCATTCATTCATTGATTCATTGATTCATTGATTCATTGATTCATTGATTCATTGATTCATTGATTCATTGATTCATTGATTCATTCATTCATTGATTCATTCCTTCATTCCTTCATTCCTTCATTCCTTCATTCCTTCATTCATTCATTCATTCATTCATTCATTCATTCCTTCATTCATTCATTCATTCATTCATTCATTCATTCATTCATTCATTCATTCATTCATTCATTCATTTATTCGCTTCATTCCATTGATTCATTACGTTCATTCCGTTCATTCCATTGATTCCATTCATTCCATTCATTCCATCATTCCATTCATTCCATTCATTCCATTCATTCCTTTCATTCCGTTCAATTTGTTCAATCCGTTCATTCCATTCATTCCATTCATTCAATTAATTCCATTCATTCCATTCATTCCGTTCATTGCATTCATTCCATTTATTCCATTCATTGCATTCATTCCATTCATGCATTCTTGATTCATTCATTCATTCAGTCATGCATTCATCCATGCATCCATCCATACATCCATCCATGCATTCATTCATTCCATTCATTCCGTTCAATCTGTTCAATCCGTTCATTCCATTCATTCCGTTCATTCCATTCATTCCGTTCATTCCATTCATTCCATTCATTGCATTCATTCCGTTCAATCTGTTCAATCCGTTCATTCCATTCACTCCATTCATTCCATTCATTCCATTCATTCGATTCATTTGATTCATTCCACTCATTCCATTCATTCCGTTCATTCGATTTATTCGATTCATTCAATGTATTCGATTCATTCCATTCATTCCATTCATTCATACATTCATACATTCATACATTCATACATTCATACATTCATACATTCATACATTCATACATTCATTCATTCATTCATTCATTCATTCATTCATTCATTCATTCATTCATTCATTCATTCATTCATTCATTCATTCCATTCGTTCGACTCATTCCATTCATTCCACTCATTCCATTCGATTCCGTTCCATTCCATTGCATTCCATTCCATTTTCATTCCATTCCATCCATTCTTTCCATTGCATCCATCCATGCATCCATCCATTCATTCAGTCATTCATTCATTCATTCATGCATTCATTCATTCATTCATTGACTCATTGATTCATTCATTCATTCATTCATTCATTCATTCATTCATTCATTCATTCATTCATTCATTCATTCATTCATTCATTCAGTCATTTCGTTCGTTCGTTCGTTCGTTCGTTCTTTCATTCATTCAATCATTCATTCATTCGTTCATTTATTCATTCATTCATTCATTCATTCATTCAATCATTCATTCATTCATTCATTCATTCATGCATTCATTCATTCATTCATTCATTCATTCATTCATTTATTCATTCATTCATTCATTCATTCATTCTTTCATGCAACCACTCATTCAATCATTCATCAAATCAATCATTCATTCACTCATTCATTCATTCATTCATTCATTCAGTCAGTCA